TAGTTTAATTCTGAAATTAATTGACATTGCTGCACCCCTTCTACATAATACAAGGAGTTACTAGTACTCTTCCCTGCAGTTAATGCATATATTGATGAATCCATGTAAATCCTATTTGCAGCCTAATTTTTACTCCTGGGTGCGGTTTCCTTCTTGATGACATAAGTGGTAAACTTAGTCTTTTTTCCCTCTGAAACATCTTTATTTCATTTTGCCCTTGCATGAGGTATTTCCTTTCAGCACTTTAAAAGTGTCATTTTGTTGTCTTCCAGCATAATCTTTCCATTATCTTGTAGCATCTTTCACCATCACTGAGCTGTCTGGTGTCATTCCTTAGTATCTGCTGATAAATAAACTCAACAACCAGTAACATTTATTAAGGTCACTTTGATTACACTATGCATGCATTAATTCATTGAATCCTTACAAAAATCTTATGAGTCATGCTATTTTTCCTCATATTCCAAAGGAAGAATCTCAGGCTAAGAAAGTACAAATCTTGGCCAAGCACAAATAGGGCGCAGTTAGAATTCAATTCCGTATCTTTCAAAATACAAAGCCTAGTTTTTAAAAAAATTATTTATTTTTGGCTGTGTCAGGTCCTGGTTGCATCAGGAGTGATCTTCATTGTTGCACACAGGCTCCCCAGTTATGGCGCATGGGCTCAGAGTTGTATGGTGCAGGCTTAGTTGACCCATGGCATGTGAGATCTTAGTTCCATGATCAGAGATTGAACCCCCATCCCCTGCACTTGAAGGTGGATTCTTAACCACTGGGCCGTCTGAGAAGTCCCACAAAGCCTACTTTGGACCACTATATTATGCTGTCTCTCAAATGCCATAGAGCAGTCAGCAAAAGGGTGGGAAAACGGAAGGGTCCCTGGGAAACAAGGTGTGGATTCCCATCCCCCACTCATCAGGCACCATCTCCTCCAAGATCATCATCACTGAAAAAGATTTTGCTGAATCTGAGGCCCTGTAAGTAATTAAGCACTGATCACAGAGGCCCCCCTCTTGGATGTATTATAAGCTCGCAGTCTGTAAAGGGAGGGGATGAGGAACTGTCACCTCCCACACCTTCCCCTCTTGGAATAAGAAGGGAACCGTATGTCTCCATTAGGGTTTAGTGCAGTGCTTTCCTAACAAAGCCTACTGACTGAATATTTTCTCCCCGGTGTTACATGTGGAACTCATTCTTGCCGGAGGCCCTGAGTGTTCCAGGTAGTTACTTTCAGAAGAGTGCCAGAGAAAAGTGGCAATTTGGTGACACAACCTGGAGGACTTAGTGCTACCCCAGCAGAATGGGGGCTTAAGATGAAAACTCCAGAAACTGAGCTTCCAGATGAAAAGGTCTTAATTGCCCTTGGATAGACCTAGAAATCAGTTACAGTATAATTTTACCTCCCCAACGGTTCCCCAGGCAGCTGTGCCATGGAAGTGCTGCTTATCACCAGTAAACTCAGAGGAGGATGGCCCAGCATCTCACTGTAGCAGGCAAGTCAGGTCGCTTTGAAGCCTGTCTTTGGGATCTTGGCTTCCTCTCACCCAGAGAACAGACAATGCATTTGTAGATACAACAGGTAAAAACAGAACTCATAACTCTGGGAAATTCAGAAAGCATTGATGTAGCACCCTTCGGTGTGTGTTGCAAAATCACTTCTCCCTCTAACTACCCCGGACTCCCTCTGCTCCTTTGGCAGAGCCCCCTTCCATCCCTGAAGCAGTGCTTTTCTAGTTGTTTGGTTCCTGAGTATTACTGTATGTTTGGAGGAGCCAACTAGAAAATAATTCATACTGAAATCACATAAAAGCCCTTCTGAAGAAGTGTGAAAATGAAAGTGGTATGTGTGATTCTTATTTTTGTATCATTGTACTTTGTCCTCTGTATGTGAACTTTGAGGTGAGTTTATTTGTAATTCTGCATAGATTTGCCTCTTCCCTTACTGTTGGATTTGAAGAACTCTAGAAGCTGGGCGACCTCATGTCCCTGCATACTTAACCTTAAATTTTGTGATTTGAGGTTTCATTCCTCTGTTTAGGCAGCTCTGTCTTTCAGCTTTATTTGTGTGCCAGTCATACTAAAATTTGCCCTTTTAGCTTCTGCCTTTTGCATGGAACACTTTGACTTTGTCTGAGCTATTATTCAATATGTGATTATTCTCAGATTGTTTTGAGAAGGGGTATGTGTCATGAAGTTTTGTCTTAGGACTCTTATGGCTCAATGTTCATTTAAGAGTGACCTCTGGTTATAGACTAAAGGTTTATGTCCCTTGAAAATTCCTGTGTTGAAGTCCTAAGTATGGCCTTATTTGAGATGGAGTCTCTAAGGAAGCAGTGAAGGTTAAATGAGGTCATAAGGGTGAGTCCCTGATCTGGTGGGTTGGTGTCCTTATTAGTGGAGACACCAGAGCACCCCCACCCCAATCCCCTCCCATGGAACCTTAGTGGAGAAGATGGCATGTGGAACCTTAGTGAGAAGGGGGCTATCTGCTGGAACTTTCACCTTAGAATTCTAGCATCCAGAACTATGAGGAAATAAATTTTTATGATTTAGGACACCCAGTCTGTGTTATTTTGTTACACAGCCAGGCAAACTAACACACTCAACCTTTTGTTACATTTACTTGATCTTCTAGTTTGTTTTCTTAGACATTGGCAATCTAAGAAGAGTTGTCGGTTGTCAGATGTTAGGTTGTAATTTTCATATCCTTGCAACTAATTTCTTCCTTTTTAAGACCTGGTAAAGTTTTATAGTTAGAAGAGACCAGATCTTCAAACTGTAATAGGAGTTAGGAAATCAGTGCAGTAGGTTGCAGCTGGCAGTTTTTTAAATGAACTACATTGCCTATGGTTTTGTGAAAGTTTTATTTCCAGAGTATGTATGTGTGACTGTGTGTACTAGATCAAGATATAAAATGTGTTTCTTACTGTAGGTTGTGGCAAAAGATTTTAAATCGGTTGCTCTAATCTAAGATAATCTTTTAGACGCTCTTAAAATATCCATGGCAGGTGATTATTGTTAGAATTTGAAGGAAAAGGGGGACCAGGATTGTGGACTCTGAGGGTTCAGAATTCTGACCTAGAGATCTAACCCCCAAAAGGGAAAGATACAGGGCAGAGGAGAATAAGTTAGGTATGTTCATGAAACCAGTAGTCTTGGGAGGGTGAGGATGGGTGGGGTGACTACAAAGGCCAGTATAATGTGCTGTTGTTGGACGAGTTCAGGGTACAGTGAGGTTCTGTGGCAGAGGACTGTCATGGTCATCCAAAGGGATTCAGGAGGACTTCGCAGAACAAAGGACATTTATGAAGAGACTCTGTTGTTTAGTCACTAAGTCATGTCTAACTTGTGAGACCCCATGAACTGTAGCCCACCAGGCTCCTCTGTCCATGGGATTTCCCAGGCAGGATTACTGGAGTGGGTTGCCATTTCCTTCTACAGGAGATCTTCCCAACCCAGGGATTGAACCTGAATCTCCTGCATCGCAGGCAGATTCTTTACTGCTGAGCCACCAGGGAAGCCAGCTTGAGTCTTAAGTCGGCGTTCATTAGACAGACAGAGCAGCGTGGGGGTCACATGAGGGGGTAGGTAGCTATTTAGACCGTATGTCCTAGGTAGCAGGGCTCCATTCTGCTGTAAACATAGTCATCTCAGGCAGTCTGCAGAAGCTGGCAGCAGCCAAAACTGGACTCAGACAATCAATCAGCTGGCAGACTGTTGCCGAGTCCTAGAAGCGAGGACCTGCCTTAGGGCAGTGCCAGGATGTGGCTGTGCAAATGCAGCGAAGGAAGAATCAATGAGGCCTGACCGTGTTTGGGGTGTAAGAGGCCAGGGAAGGGAGGGGCACCTTTGGCTCGTTTTGGGGTTCAGCACCCAGGGAAAACAGTCATTACTTTCCTAGCAGTAGAGAACATTCAAGAGCAGTCAGCCTTGGGAGGGAAAGTGATGGGGAGATATGGATCTTACATCTTGAGTTGTAGAATTCATAGAGCTCTTAGGGCAGCTTTTCAAGGAATGCCCTTACTAGAGCATTTCTCATGGTTCATAGGTAAAGTTTTCCATTTGTTTGGCTTTTTTTTTTTTTCTTTAGAAAGCCCCCAACTGTTGGGTAAAATATTAGATGTTATTTAAATTCAGCAGGTTTTATTATTCTAAATCCAGGAAGCTATATATTTTCAATATTTTTCTCAGCTAGAACATGAAATTGTTACTCACCTTGACTCATAATCAGGTTTTTGAAAGAGAAGGTGGCAAAACAAGGATTTGTCTGTTTATAAATCAGGTATCAATGTATTATACATTTACATGATGAAATGCCAGGCGGTTGCTTTGAATTAAAAGCCTTCACAATTCAATTTTTACTTCCTTCAGAGCCTCCTCAACACACTCTGTTTTCTTTATTTGTGGTCATTATTCTACAGTGACTTTTGAGAAGCAGTTTTTTAAAAAGAGTACAAATTGTATTACTCCTCTTTATTGAATTGAAATTCTTAACTAGGCTTTCCATTAATGAACTATGGTATCCATGTTAGGCCAAAAAGGCTAGTTGGATTAATTAAGGTAGTGTTTCGGAATTGGAGTCATCAATGAAAGTTTCCCTAACAACTCAAGCAAAATTTAGTAACAACCATGAAAATTCATATGAGGGAAAAAGTGGCAACAAGAGGAATTTGAATTACACATGATAATGCCAAAAAACTTCATTAAACTTCTTTCAGTGATACTGCTCAAGATAAACTTGACTTTCAGTTCTGGGATGTTATTCTTTATTCAGTGATTGGGTCTTCCAGGCTCAGCATGGCAGTGGTCCTAAGGAAAAAGAAACTCCCCTTTGACGGTTTATAGAACATTCTGCTTTGATATGGAACCGTGTCTGGAGCATGAAAAAATTTTAACATGATAAGGAGAAAAGATCAGGCTTGTTTTTGATGTTCCGATACTTACTTGACAGTCTTTACAGCTATTTTCAGTTCTGACCTGACTCCTTTTTTTCTTGCTAGTTTAAGATTGGCAGAGAATGGTGGACATGGATCGATTACAGCCGCTTCCAGGAGCTTATTCAGGAATATGAAGATAGTGGCGGATCAAAAACTTTCAGCGCAAAGGATTATATGGCCAGAACGCCTCACTGGGCCTTATTTGGTGCCAACGAAAGAGGCTTTGATCCCAAGGATACCAGATATCAGAGAAAGAACAAATCAAAGGATATTTCTGGATGTTGAGATTGTCTGAATTTAGGATACTGAAGGACACGAACCGATGGCGACAGAAGGTTCTCAGACTCCAGTGTGATTTTTTTCCAAGGACAGGTTACGCAAATAATATTACACATAGAGAAGGGTGTGAGGAAGAACACGGGGATACAAGTCATGTCCCAGGGCTCAGGAGAGAGCAGCCACACTGGAGTGCCTGGGAGTTGGCCTCACCATCTCTTTCCAGAATTCAGTCCCTTTTCTGAATTTACTTCTGAAAGAAAACCATCTTGATGGGCAAGTCCATGAGCATGATTAGTTTTGAATTACAACTAGGAAGACTCGCTGGGATGCCATCCATGGGAGTGTTGTACAGTGTGAATTTCTGTTTCTCTTCCCTCATTGTGGGCTGTTGGTCTTCTTTCGATTGTACTACCTTGAGGTCCACGTGTCTGCTCACTGTAAGATCTCCATCCCTTTCTTACATCTGATGATAACGCCTCCTGAGAGTAATTTAAATTGTCATCATTCTCAATTACTTTAAATACCACATAGATTTTTAAAATTTTTGCTTAGTTCCAAGCCTTTAGAAATTGAATCAGATCTGAAATCATTGTTCCCGTACAGATTGCCAGAGAAGGTAGCATGTGAGCTGGAGTAGAGTAAAATCTTCTGTAAGGGGAATTGTCATGTGATGTCACTGGATAGTTAGTCTCACACACTGTGAAACGAGTACAGTTTGCTTTTGCTTTGAAAAGTCAGCGTGTAAACTCATCACTACCCTTCTAGCAGGTTTCCATCTTCTTTCACTCTTGTGCCCTCACTACTTTCTGCCGTGTGTTTTTTTAAGGCTCAATTTTTTTTTTCTAGTTGAAAACATCACTAAATACTCTGATTTTTTACAGTATTAGTTATTTTAAAAATTCCTTTATCCTAAAAATCTAATAAATATCTTTTGTAAGGACTTGGACCACACATTTTCTTTTGAGAGCTTATTTTAAAGATGCTTCTAGTCCTGTGTCTCTAAGTCCCATCAGACCCAACCCCCCCCACCACACCCATATATTCTTTCTGTATTCTCTGCTGAAGTTCATAATGATATAATCTACCTACTCATTTAGTTGAAAACTGGGCACTGTATTTATATCTGAGTGATAGAGTCAAAACATGTCTCTCTGTTGTGCCATACAGTGAAATCTGATGTTCTTCGTCAGCCCACCACATCCTCATCCCATGTTCCGTTAACTCCTGAGACAGACAAGGGACGGGAGTGATCCAGGCCAGTGAGGCAAGATCTCAGCGAAGCTCGAATGTGTTAGTGGTCACTGAGCAGAGATGGAAAATCACCGTGAAGTAGAGCAGCGCGATATGGTCAGCGCTCATGCTGTGGAGCGCACAGATTGGCTGCTGTCTGACAGGCAGCTGAGCACACAGCTCTTGGAAACACTTGAGGGGCTGCTGTGAGGAGCAGGGCAGGTGGCAGGGCCTGGTTGACTTTGGACTGTCTCTCAGCCTCCTTTTCAGCCGGGCACCTCTGCTTTTATTTTTTCATGCATTGAGGTTCTGCTCACAATTTAATTTGAACACAAATATTCTGTTGCTTCAAAGGGAAAACATACAACAAACCTCTCACCTCCTGAATGAACCCTCCTGATGCCATTAGCTTTAAGTACATAAATGAGCAGTTTTTCTCCCCCTGCCATCCAGGAAGTGTTTGCTTTATATTTTTAAAAAATAGCATGGCATATTAATCCTGGTTCACAGACACAGCAGAGAAATTTAAATGCCTAGGGGAAAAAAAAATACAGTAGAATCCGTGTGAAAAAAATTCAGCGTTTGCTGAGCAGTATTCGAGTAGAAAAGATGGGAAGGTTGAATGTTCTTAGAAGGTAAGCTGCTTAGAAAATAGCATTCTAGATGTCCAGTGGAAGTTCTTGTTGGAGTTTGAGCCAGTGAGTCCTACATTCTGCTGAAAAAAACCAGCCAGTAAGAATAGTTACAAAAATTCTAGAAAAATCATTATTCAAGGAAAATCCCTTTGCAAGCTATTAAATCATGTTGTCTAAAATAATTAAAACAACATGAAACAAGAAATCAGCTTCCAAAATGACAGAGTAAGAACCTCAGTGAACTCACTCTCCCTCTAAAACAGTGAAAATACGGGCAAAAAAACTAAAACCGGTGAACTGTAGCCTGTGCGCTTACTCAGTCATGTCCAACTCTTTGTGACCCCAAGGACTGTAGCCCACCAGGCTCCTCTGTCCATGGGATTTTCCAGGCAAGAATACTGGAGTGGGTTGCCATTTCCTCCTGCAGGGAATCTTTCTGACCCAGGGATCAAACCTGTGTTTCCTGCATTGGCAGGTGGATTCTTTACCACTGCACTACCTAGGAAGCCCATGAACTGTAGAACTCTTGACAGTTCAACCATGAGCTGAAAATCATCTGTTAAGAGAAACTACTGAACCTCAATGAAAATTAACAGTTTACTTCTCATAAGAAAGCATAGAGGCCAGAAGACAGTGGGATGATGTCTTTAAAAGGTTGGAAGAAAAGACTTCCGACCAAAAATTCTATATCTAGCTAAATTTTCCTTCAAAATTAAAGAAGAAATTAAGACATTTCCAGATAAGCACGAAGTAAGAATTCATCACCAGCAGACCTGCCTACAAGGAGGAGTCCTCAGGCCTTAACAAAAGTATGTTAGCCACTAACTTGAAACCATGCGAAGAAAGAGCATTGGTGAAAGTACCTATGTAAGTTTTATAAAAGACAATATAAGTGTGTATTTTTGTTTTTAACTCTTCTGTCTGTTTTATAAGACAACTATGTAAAGCAATATTTATAAAAATTGGGTTAATGGACTTAGAATGTATAAAGATGTAATTTGTATGACAGTCATAGCACAAGAGGAGTGTGAGGGGGGAACCAAGGTATACTGGAGCAAGTCTTGATTACCCACTGTTGAAATTGAGTATGTTTACAAAATGAATTGTTTTAAGATGCTAATTGTAATCTCTAGAATGGCCATAAGAATGAATTTTAAAAATTACAGTAAAAAATGTTTTTGCTTCCAGTTTCAATGTGTGGATTTTTAACCCTCACACCAAACAATTTTCCAGTACCAGCTTCAGTTTAATTCTGACATTGCCTGGAGGTAGCATGAGATCCCATAGATTAAGTGCCCAGCCCCCTAGCTTCAGATGCCAATCACAAGTCCACTTTGTCACCTGTGCTTCTGATCAGCTGGAAGCACAGGTATAAACTGTAGGTTCCCTTGGGTTTGATTAATGTGCTAGAGCAGCTCACAGAAATTCAGAGCAACATTTTACTTAATAGATTACTGATTTATTATAAAAAGATATAACTCAGAAACAGCCAGATGGAAGAGATACACAGGGCAAGGTATGTGGGAAGGAAGACAGGGCTTCCATGCCTTCTGCAGGCATACCACTCTCCCCAAATCTCCATTTGAACACCAATCTGGAAGCTCTCCAAACCCAGTTATTTTAGGGTTTTATATAGAGGTTTTATTACCTTATCATGGTTTGTTACATCATTGGCCATTGGTGATTGACCTTGATCTCCAGCCCTTCTCCCCTCTCTGGAGGTCCAGGCATGGGTCTGAAAGTCCCCAACCCTCTAATCACTTGGTGGGGTGCCCTAGCAATGAGCTCTCTTCTTCAGCTACCTAAGGGCTTTCCAAAAGTCACCTCATTAACAGTGAATGACTCCTTTTGTTGTTGTTATTGCTCTCATCACTTAGAACATTCCAGGTGTTTTAGGAGCTCAATGCTAGGAACTAGGACGAAGACCAAATATATATTTCTTATTATAAATCACAGTATCACGAGAGAATTTAAAAGGTATACTAGAAAATACCTGTTTAGCACAAAAGAAGACAGCAATAGGAATAAAACAACACAGATCTAAGACATTCAAAAAAAGCAGAAATGCCAGGCATAAATCTTACCTTATTGGTAAGTATATTATGTAAGTAGATTAAATTACCCTAATCAAAAGAGGCAGAATGTATTTTTCTTCTAAATCCAATTATATGCTGTCTACAATAGACACATTTTAGATTCAAAGACTAAAGGAATTGAGACAGATATAGCATGGAAGCAGTGACCAAAAGAGAGCTGGAGTGACTGTACTAATATAAAAAACATAGGCTTTATTTTATTTTTTATTTAAAAAATTTATTAATTTAATTGGAAGCTAATTACTTTACAGTATTGTAATGGTTTTTGCCATACACTGACATGAATCAGCCATGGGTGTACATGTGTTCCCCATCCTGAAGCCCCCTCCCACCTCCCTCCTCATCCCATCCCTCTGGGTCATCCCAGTGCACCAGCCCCGAGCACCCTGTATCATGCATCAAACCTAGACTGGCGATCTGTTTCACATATAATAACATATTTCAATGCTATTCTCTCAAATCATCCCACCCTCACCTTCTCCCACAGAGTCCAAAAGACTGTTCTTTACATCTGTGTCTCTTTTGCTGTCTCGCATATAGAGTCATTGTTAGCATCTTTCTAAATTCCATATATATGCATTAATATACTGTATTGGTCAAAAACATAGACTTTAATACAAAATATTATTACTAGGGACCAAAGGGATGTTTTATAGTGATAAATTTTAATTATTATAATTATTTATAATTCCATCTTATTAGAAAGATTGTAATCATTATTAGTAATGATTGTAAGCATGAATGGACCTAGCAATAACGCCTCAAAATATGTGAAACAAAACCTGACTGAATTGACGGGAGATGATGATTCAGTAGTAACTGGAGACTTGCATAACCCACTTACAATAATGGATAGAGCAACTCGGCCAAAGACTGACAAGCAAGTGAGATTCGAGCAACACTGTGAAACAAGTACCCTAACAGACCTCTTAGAACACTCCACTGAAAACACCTCCTTCTCAAGTGCCCATGGAACATTCCCCAGTAACAGACCATATGTTAGGTCAGAAAACAAGTCTCAATAAATTTAAAAGGATTGAAATTA